TATGTAAGCTGAGTGAAGTTAGTAAAGGGTACGACATACTGTGAACTGTTCGTACGTATCGCAAACTGACAAATACCCAAACCACTTTCTGGGTCGATGAAGCCACTGACGTTGGTTAATARAGTACAGTTTCGYAAACATGAGATGACGTCATCACGARGTATAACCTGTCCGGGGAGGGGTGGGGTCAAGTCAGCCTGGACTCCCTCWGTTGTGTCGATAGAATAGAGCCCAGCTTGATTCCATACTCTTATCGTCACGTAATATTTGACTGAATGAGTCAATTTGCACTCAGTACACGTTACTTGTGTACTGTTKGTAGGAAGTGATTTCATTGGTTGGATTTGACATCCATTTGGGGTGGTACCAACACAGTATTCAGTGTTCTTAACCGAGCTCTCCGGATCACGTGACTGCCAGGTTGCAGAGATCCTATCGTCAGGGCCAATCCAAGCTTTGCTACCACGTGTGAGCTAAAGAAAAGAAAAATATTAAATCAAAAATCTTCCTAAAATGGAAATACAAACATATGGAAGAAAATCCAGAKTATAAGTTGAGAAAGTACTTCTTTCTTTACCTTCGAAATTTCAGGAGGAGTGACGTCAACCACGAACCCATCAGACCATCCCTGTGACGTCATCCCTGCTTGATTCTTTGCTTCTACAGTAACATAATATGCGCCAATGGGAGAGAGACTAACATTTGCTGCAAACCCTTGTCTTTGCTTGCCTACGTCACGGAATCCAATGACGTCATCTTTCCCAGGAGAGGTTCCTAATGCCCATCGATAACCCATAATACCACTTTCGTCATCCTTGAATCCACGCCATATTGTTTTGACTTCAGTGMCTCCAGACATGAAATCRATGTCGTTGGAGACATCATCTCCATCAACTACAGTTCCTGATGTGGGTGGAGTAACATCAATAATGACACCATTGGACACCGATGTAACAGTAAAACCGTCTCGATTAGCACAGGTGATCTGGTTCAGGTACCGAGATCCAGGACTGAGGCTTAATCCATGACGAGTTTCACTTCCTCGTGAGCTGACWGTTTCTTCAAAYACTATACTGTCATTAMCGAAATAAGACCCATCACTTGAAACAGATTGCTGTATCAACTTCCACGTGCAGTTCTTGACATTTGTATCCCTGTCTTCAAACCCCGCCCACTGAGAGGACATAGTGTTCGTTACGTTCATGAAATCTACATCACGTCCAGTCCCGTCAATCACTTGACCACGTGACGGAGGTGATGYATCTATGATTATTTTTCTCGACGTCAAGACTGAAGCAAGACCTGCCTTGTTTCGCACGATCACCAAAGCGTAGTAATTGGCTAATGAAATAGGTGTAAATGACGACAGTACCGCTATAGTTTCACGCCCAACAGAATACYTTTCTGTTAAACAGTTACCAGGTGTTGTTCCAACACAGTATTCTGAATCCATTATGTCACTCTCGTTGTCACTAACACCTGACCAATCAATGCGCAAATCGACCTTGCCTGCTGATTGGTCAGAAACAACGAATGTGACGTCAACATCTGATTTGACTGGTGGTGTAATGTCTACAGTAAAACCATTAGATGATCGAGTTGAGGTCATTTCACTAGCAGATACTGCTTTGACTGTGATGTAATACTTCTGTCCCGTATTTAGTACGTCAAGGTCAGGTTCATCAGCTGCCAAGGTTACCTTATCGTGTAGACTCAATCCTGCACTCTTGTACTTCATCACATCTTCACTACCAGGCGCTGTTCCTATCGCCCACATGTATTGAATGACAGGGTCGTGTTGATCAGCTTTGAAGGCGTCCCAGTTTGCCCCAACGTCTTTTGTGCTTGTAATGTAATCAAGATCTTTTTTCTTCGCATACCCGTCCCGAACAGAAGCAGGTATGGGCCACTCAGACACGACACGGAATCCATCAGAACGAGACACAGCATTTAGTCTTGCACCATTGCTACATTCGATCATGTTATAGTACAAGCGACTGGCATTAAATGGCAAAGAGCTGTAGGCTTGTTTAGCAGACAAACTTTGCTTTTGCCCCAGTTTGAATGGCCCAGATATGTTTACGGAAAACAGTTCTTTGTCTTCATAGTCTACTATGCTCCACTTGCATTGCTTTACACCACTCTCTCTGTCTTCAACGCCTTGCCACGTCACCRTAACAATCCAGCCAAACAATGCGGTATCGACGTCATTACCAGAAGGGTCATCACCATCGATGAGTTTGCTAGTTACAGGCGGAGTCGAGTCAAGAAGCATCCCATTGGACGCTTGAGTCACTGATAACCCAGCACCATTGGTAAGTTGAACTGTAAGATAAACTCGTTCTCCTGGATTGACCTTGCATTCWCTGCAGGTAAACGATGTTTTGTTCCCTATATCAACCATATCTTGGATTTGACATCCCAAGGGCATGAGTCCTAAGCAGTATTCACTTTTGACTATGCCACTCTCGGGGTCAGATACCTCTTCCCAGTGTCCACTAACTGGTTCCTTTGGGCTGAAGAAATCCCAATCCTCACCACCCGATCCATCCTTTATGTTTACATCAGATGATATAGCGGGAGTGACGTCAATACGTAGAGGAAGAGCTTGAAGAGTAGCATTCAAACCTGCAGCATTCACTCCATAAACAGTGATATAGTAGATAACGCCTTGGGCCAGATTTAAGTCAGTTCTTATTGACTCTGTTGACAAACGATTGTTTGACATGGGTACAACATTGTCTCCTAAAGGCGAAGTTCCCACCGCTATCCAATATTCTTTTATTGGACTTTCCTGGTCATTGAAAGGTTGCCAGGTGATGGTGATGCTATTGTTGACAGCTTGATACTGCATGGTGTCATCACGCGAATACCCAGCAGAAACCGGCCCTTSAGGTACAGGTGCTGATACATCGATTATAAAAGAGTTGGATGAATGAGATGAAAACAGTTGTGCATTGTTGAAACATTTAACAAGGGCCTTGTATTCCTGTCCAGGTACAAACACTCTATTCGACACGCTGGTCATCCCAGTTGACATGTTCAGCACTTTGTTGATAAAAATGGTCGATGAAGTATTTGTCACATAAATATTGCAAAAATCAACACCGCTTTCATGGTCTGTAAAGTCGTTCCAATAARTATGAACTATCTCAGATCCAACGTACTTCTGATGTTCGTCTGCACGGCCAACGTTAACCGAGCCAGCATTAGGCGGTGTATTGTCCATTAGYATCGCATCTGAACAACTGCGAGACAATAAGTCWGCCTTGTTTCGTGCAGTCACAGTAACATAATACTTAACGCCTTGCCGAAGGTTCAAATCGGACATCGAAGTATTCGCAGTTGTCGATCCACCAATATTAATGAGTGGCTGTACTTGTGTTCCACATTTTGAGGTACCAATGGCCCATTTGTAGAACCACACTTCGCTTTCTGGCTCGGCAAATGCATCCCAGTACACAAAAATGTCGGATATTTTTGAGGTGTAGAAGGTGTTGTCATTCCTGTTATAAGTCCAATCAGTGTTKCCAGGAGATCCTGGATATATAATGCTTGGTTGTGGAGCAATGTTATCAACGGTGACACCATCTGAGGTGATTTGCCTTACTGCTCCAGCATGATTATAGATCTTCAAGTGTACTTGATAGGTTCTTCCGTTTATCAGCGTAAGAGGGTTGTCGTTTTTAACATGTGTAGCAAGACCCACATCGGTAAAGGGAAGTGCTGCATTACCACTGACGTTGTCTTTGATTGCCCATTCAAATCTCTCTATCTGACTTTCTAAATCCCATATTCCTTCCCAGTTTGCAGCCATGCTGGTCAACGAGGACTGATATTTTAGATCTGGTTCGAGGACTCCATCGTTGACAATTCCCTTGTTTGGTGGTGTAGTGTCGATAAAAACACCATCCGAACTTAAACAGTTTCTTAGACCAGCATTGTTAACTGCACAAACTATAAAATAGTACACATCTTCGTGTAAGAAYAGCCCAGTCGCACGAGCATTTGTCTGTAAGCCATTTTTCTTGAATGAGGCAACATCTGGAACGCCAGCTCGGTTCCTACTGATGCCATATTCATAGTATTTGATACCTGATTCAGGATCGCTAACGCCTTCCCAACTTGCTGACATCTCTGTCACGTTACTCTGATAATCAATATCTGTCTGTGTCACACCATCGATCACTCGTGCTTCACGAGTAACAGGAACTGTAACATCAACCATAAAGCCATCAGAAGAAACCTCTTTGCTGAAGAGTCCAGCCATGTTCTGTGCTTTGACTTTGGTGCAGTATCGCTGGCCGTTGACTAGATTAAKGTTTTGAAGAAAGAATGACGTAGATGATGCTGGCGTCGCCTTAATGAAACTATTACCCGTCACGTGATAGTTGCCTTGGATACAGCTTCCAACAGCATAGTAATATTGTCTGACGCCAGTGTGAGGTTCTTTGAATGCTGTCCATGTTGCTTTGACATATACAAGGCTTKCTTGGTAATCATAATCTGAGCCAGCATTTGAGCCATCAGACACAACTCCAGCTTGTGGCGGGGAAGAATCGGGGATGACAAGAACAGAAGAAGCGTCTTTATAAAGAAGAGCTCTGTTGTAGGCACGTATTACCACACGGTACGTACTTCCATCTGCCATGGTGAGACCTGAGAACGATGCAGTTGTTGTCAAACTTGATCCAGATACTCGCGTAAAATCTCTAGCAGTAACATTTCTTGATGCTGGAATGACTGCCCATTCGTAGTGATTCAGCCCACTATGACCATCCGAAAACCCGTTCCAAGTTACTTGTAGATTAGTTTTACTTGATACATACACACACGCAGTTGAATTGATGAAGTCTTTGACTCCTCTAACCTTCACTTCGCCTGTAAACACAGGTCGTGTTGTATCCACTATGACTCCATTACTCTTTACTTCGGTTGCTAGGCCAACAGCGTCAACTGCTTTGACAGTAACAAAGTACTTTACTCCACTTATAAGGGAGAGTCCACTATGGCTTATTGATGTTTTCATTCCAACTGAAGTCCATCYTATGACATCATTATTCCTACTGTYAGTGATCTTGTACTGATATCCTACAATACCACTACCTTTGCTGCCGTCACTAAAGCCATTCCAGTTAGCTGATATAGTTGTACCATTKGACTGATGCTGGATGTCATTTGCATCGCCATCGTTTACACTTCCTGCRMGCGGAGGATCACGGTCTATCAGAACGCAGTTCGATGATGATTCTATAAACAGTTTAGCCTTATTGTAACCTTTTACAACAGCACAATAACGTTCTCCTGAAACCAAATTGAGTCCAGAAGCTGAACTAGAGCGGTTCAATGCAGTTTTCATGTAAGCTGTTATCAGGCCAGCTCCATCTCGTTTAACAGCCCATTCATAGTACAAAATTCCACTGTGAGGGTCTGTAAAGGCAGCCCAGTTAACACTGAATGTGTTGGTCCATTTAGCATACGTAACATCAACACCTGTTTGAGAACCATCATAAACTCTTGCTGCTATTGGCTTAGACAAATCCACAACTACTCCGTCACTTGTGCGTTCACTATAGAGGCCTGCCTTGGTATACGCTCTAACAAGCACTTTGATTCTTGATCCATCAGCAATATTACTAAAGACCTTGGAGGCACTGGTACTTACTCCGGTACTTGTCAAGGATAGAAGTTCCACCGTGTTACTACCACCAAWAGCAACRTAACTGACTTTCCAWTCGTATTTTTGGACACCGTTTCTAATTGTAAACCCTCCCCAGTTTGCTGTTATGGTTTTAGTAGACTGGTAGTCGATATCTGCTGTAGAACCATCTCGYACCCAGCCATTTTGTGGGACAGACGTGTCTATGGTTATAGCACTGGTACATACTAATGGTCGTGTGCCTCCTCTCATGTCCACTGCTTGTATCGCTAGCTTGTAGGTTTTAGTGTCTTGGAGTGTCAACCCAGTAATTGACTGCTTTGTGTTGGTATTTGACAGCTGTCCTTTGGTGCTTGTGGCAGTATTGCAAGCAGATGAACCGTCTAGTAAATACCATTTGAATGTCATACGTCCGCAGCTGATGCTGAAACTATTGACCTTAAAGTAGAGGACATTGGTGTTGTGTTGGTACGAGGCAGAGGAAGTGTAAGCCGAGTTCTGAAAGTCAACTGTACCAGTTGTAATTGTTATGGGATCTGTAACCGCTGCAGGGCATGAACCAAGTCGACCATCACATCTGCAAATGTTAATAAAAAATACTGTTWGCCATTGGCATCTTATAATTTTCCTTCCTTAATTAGTAATATATTAATAACCTAGCCAAAGGATATTAGAATCCCTGCATTCCTTTTTGCGTCGCTACTATAGGTCTATCATTCAAAAGCCCAAAGCAAAAGCAATGGAAAACAATGAAAAAGCAACTCATGGTTTTTGCAACTTCTTTTGCCAAATTTTGGGGAATGTCCAAGGATTTGATTACTTCAGTTCTATTACCGCATAAATTAGCAGTTTGCTCATTGCACTAAGGTGAAAATAAGTCATTTGCAGCCTGTTCTTATTGTTTTAAATAAAAACCTTATAAAACTCTTTGACTGAGTCCCTAGAGGAATTGTTCTGGTGGGCAAAACGATGGAATTTTTTTGTTTTTTTTGTTTTTGTTTTTTTGTTTTTTCGTTTTGTTTTGTTTTGTTTTGTTTTGTTTTGTTTTGTTTTGTTTTGCATAAGAAAAGACGGCCTATTGCTTTGTCCCCCTGAAAAATTCCTCTAGGGAAATCAACACAAGGGGTCTATATTAGCACATATTTTAAATGACAGTCGCTAACATAGATATGAGCAGTCGCTAACATAGATATAACATGAACAGAGTGGCTCACCTTTCTGGTTGGTCACAGATATCCTTTGCAGCTTTACAGATAGTCCCTGCAGACCTGTAAATATCCTTACATCTTCCATTACCTAAACACACAGACGTACTAATACAGCTTGTGCTTGGGTAAGATGATTGACAGCTGTAAGGCTGACCAACGCATCGTCCTCGAGTACACATGTCTTTTTTGGTGCATGTTTTCTTGTCGTCGCAAGGTACACTGGGACGGTTTGTCCAAGTTCCTGTTGACTTGCTTGAGGCATCGTACAGATCACACCACTGACATTGGTTGGAAGGATTTAGCTGCTGGTGATTATAATCCCTGCCTGAAATTGAAAGTAAGTTATCACAAGTTTTAGAATGCAAATAATATACCGGTGAAATAGATAGCTAGCTAACAAATTACTAACTTTGTGCTATTGGTTGCCTAAATCTAATTAGTTAAAGAAATAGGAAAGCCGTGACGGGTAAACTAGTGCACGTGTGTTACTCAAGGGCGCGCATTTTTAATATTTTTAAACACACTTACAAAAACTGAAACAATATTTTATTGCACATGCTTTTCCTTCATATAATTTTACATGTTCGCATTTTCGTATCTATTCAATTGCGTAATGAGCTGTCACTTTAATAAACACCCGTGCCCTTGTCATGCCTCACTGAATTCCTATGTCTTGTCTAATTAAGCACTAACTATCTCCTATTTCATCTAACTATTTCACGGGTATATTATTTGCACTCTATTATTATCAAAATCATGATTAATACATAATGGTAATCCAACTTCGTGTCGTGCAATTCAGTTTGAAATCGAACGAGTGGTCATTTTTACTCTTGATTTTAAATATAGTAAAAAAAACTGTCTTTTCCCTAGAAAATCCACTTCTTAATGCATTGTTTTGGGTTATTTTGCGTGTGTGACATGATTGATCAAATCACTTTTTTTTCATACCTCCTATCTTGCAAGTACATTTTCCATTSACAAACCCAAATCCAGTTTTTTGACTGCAGTCACGACCATTACACGTCTGGCAGTGTGAGTTACAAGTAAATGCTGTACCAGTACAATGACCATTGGTACACGTGTCTGATCGGGTGCATTTGTTACCATCATCACATGATACTCGATTTCTGTTAGTCCAGGTACTCGTGCTAGAGGATGGGTTACACCACTGTTTTTTTAAGAGAAAAATAAATTTGTCAAAAMTTGGAGTACGAATAAGAAGATTCCTTTTATAAATTTGATCATAAAACATTGCGATATTAAGTTCTATATTTATAAATTTGAGTAAAACGTGATTTGCTAATTTACACGAGGAAAGTTTTGTTTTTGTTTTTATTTCATTAGCCTTTATTTCGTTTGTTTTTCCGTTTGTTTTTATTTATTTGCAAGTTGCTTTTTTATTTGTCTGTCTGTCTGTGTCTTTACTTCAGCTGCCGGTTTTTTGTTTTTTGTGCATTTGTTGTATCTATGCTTGTTTGTTGGGTTCGGTGAGCATTTTGTTCGTTTAATTTTGTAATATTTACGTATTTTGAACTAGACATTTC